ATCTTCTAGTCTTCTAAGCCAGTGACCAAAAAATAAGAAATTACCAAACAAATGCTTTCACTTGAACAATACCTATACTGAACTTGGTCATATCATGTAAACACTAATCGTAGGTGAAGGCACTAAATATGATATTATAGCTACCATTTGATCTTAGTAAAGAAAGTTAACAGATAATAGATCACATTCTAAAAATAATCTTGAATTATTTTTAGGTCATTTGTTCCCAGTCATCCATTCAACCAACAAGTATTTACTGCTCTCTACTATCTGCTAGGCGCAGCCCTGCCGCGGCTGGAGCCGGAGCCGTAAGCAGAAGGGACCCCGTCCTCCCGGCTGGTGGCACTCAGTACTCTACGGGACAACAAGGCGGCACAGGCAGCATGAGCAATGCTGACAGTGAGAGGCAGAGGTGCTTGTGTGGGAACAGGTTCAGGAAGTCCTGACAGGAGACATCTGAAGGAGATGATGGGTAAGATTTTCAGTATCCTATAGAGGATATCCCAAAGACAGCAATCACTGCGAAGGCCAGGACAGAGGTCTGTTGGTGTGTTCGATAAAAACTGAGATCAGGAGCGTGGCAGCTGGGCGGGCAAGGGAGGCAGAAGCAAGAGAAGAGTTTCAGAGAGACGGTGGCGAGAAAGGGTGAGTGGGCTGGAGAGCTCAGGAGGTACAGTAGAGCACTGCTCTGAAGGAGACAGAAAACCACTGGAGGGTTTTAAGCAAAGTAATGAGATAATTTTTTAAAAATCACTTTTGGCTGCTGTGTTGAAAACAGTCTGTGAAGGGGCAGGAGTTGAACCACAGAGACCTGTCAGAGGCTACTATAAGCAAGTTAGTAGAGATGATGGTAGTCTGACCAGGGTCGAGTAGTAAAGGTAGTTAAAAGTAGCTGAATTCTGAATAGATTTTGAAGGAAGAGCAGAAGGGTGCCATCTGGTAGATTAGAGCCAAAATGAGGGCATCCAGGATGACTTCAGGATTTTGGGTCAATCACCTGGAAGGATGGAAGAGGACTACAGGGAAAGCATGCATCTTAGAGGTAAGAGGTAAATCAGAAGTCTGGGCCACGGCAAACTTGAAATACATACTAGACTTCCAAGTGGAGATGACGTATAAGCAGATGGACGTGTAAATTTGGAGTGAATATGGGAATTATCAGCATATGGAGGGTATTTAAAGTCAGAAGACTGGATGAGATTACCTAGAGAGTGAGTATAGACAGAAAGGAGACTGGAGACCACAGCCGTGGGACAGTACATTTAGAGGCTGAGGAGATAAGAAGTCAGACTTGAAGACTAAAAAAGAATAGCTAGTGTTAGACTAGAAAACAATACATCCGTCAGGCATACAATATCATATTACAGTCTTATGGGCTTTCTGCCTACACACATGAACAGCTGAAGAACTGGTAAGCAAAATCCCATCTCTAACTATCATCAATTTACTGGAATGAAACCTTTTAAATAAGACCCAACCTTAGGATAGTAACCAAGAAAACATAAAGACAGCAAACTATCATTCATAAAATTGGCCAAAAATTAAAATTCTTACATATTAGGTATAGTTTAGGATGTTCAGAAATGGAAAGTTTCTTCTGGAGAACAATTTAAAATTATATAGCAAAATTAATTTTCTAGGTGTCTATATACAAGGTGATACTGTTTATGCAAATTAAAAAGCAAACAAAACCATATATATATATATATATATATATATATATATATATATATATATGAAATTGAAAGGAAAACCCTTAAATGACTCTGGGGGGTGGGGAGAAGGACCGGCAATGCTGGGCAAGGAAACTGCACCTAAGGTACAATTCCTTACCTTGTTTTTACAAACACATTGAATTTATGAAAAATATTTGAAACAAATGTACAGGGTGAGGCAAAAGTAGGTTTATAGTTGTTCGTATAGACAATAATACAAGCCCTGGCCGGTTTGGCTCAGCGGTTAGAGTCAGCCCAAGGACCAATGAGTCGCAGGTTCGATTCCAGTCAAGGGCATGTGCCTCGGTTGCAGCTTGTCTCCGGCCCTGGTTGGGGGTCGTGCAGGAGGAAACCAGTTGATGTTCCTTTCTCTCCCCTGCACCCTCTCACTCTATCTGAAGATAAATGGAAAAATATCCTCGTGAGGATAAAAAAAAAAATACAAAAATTAATAAATAAGATTACAAGAATAAACAGTTTCACGTACTCTCGACTGTAAACCTACTTTTGCTCCCACCCTGTAGAATCACCAACTCTGATGTGAAGACATGAGTGCATGTAATAAAACTCTTTGTAAATTTTTTGTATTTAAAAAACTCAAAATAATTTTAAAAACACAAGACAATAAAAGGAAAACAATAACATTTGTTTAAAACAATGTGTACATTTATACCCATAGAAGAGTATATTTTGTTGGCATATTAATAAAGAGTTACTAGGCCTCTATGATTACACAGCCTTTGGCAAAATCCACCCAAATGCTGTAATTTACTATTCAATAAAAACCATGAAATAACTTTGAGCACACTATCCATAAATACAATAATGTAAAAAAATTAAACTGTGAGAAAAACATGTAAAACTACCCAGTTTTATCAGATCTAATCTGAAGAGGGAATCTGTGTTCTAATCAAAGCTGTGCATCAAGTGCTCCTGGACTGACTGCGGTGGGAAATGCAGACACCAACAAGGAAGAGACAGGAGTCCACCACCAGCCAATCTACACAATGAATGATAATGAATGGAAACATGCTTAATTCTCCTGCACAAATTTGGGATATAAATACTGCCTTCTTTAGAAGACTCTACACATGTTTGTTAATATTTTATAAGATCCCTCTTCTTGAAAAGTGAAACATGTAAGAGTGTATATTACAATAATAATACCTTTTACATTTACACACTTCCAGAATCTGTATTTCACATGGCAACTTCTACTTTATGCCTTTTCCAGTCTGAAGGTAATAAATACACTAGCTGAAACTATTACTCATTTTTCTTAGCTTTTTACGCCTGACTTGCTCAACATAATAGAGACACTGACACACAATTAAATTCCTAGCAATTTTTATGTGAATCTAAAAATGCCCCCCCGCCAACAAAAAACAACCCATAGAAAGAGAGGTCAGAATTGTGTGACCAGAGGCACGGGGTGAGGGCAGAAGACTGGAGAAGGAAGGTCACAAGGTATGAAGTCCCTATTACAAGGTAAGTACTGGGGACGTCATGCATGGCATGATGACTAGAGTTAACAGTGCTATATAAAGCATCTGCGAAAGATGTTCAAGAGACTAAATCCTAAGCGTTCTCATCACAAGGGAAAACATTTTTTTCATTGCTTTCTCTTTTTATTGTATCTACAAGAAAGGATGAATGCTAACTAAACTTATTGTGGTGATTATTTCATAATATATATGTGTTATACCACTGTGCTATATACTTTAACCTTATAATAGTGATATATGTCAGTTATATTTCAGTAAAACTGGGGGTGCTGAGGGGCTAGGGTGAATGAGCTTTTAGTAAATATGTTCCTAGGTCAAAAAAGTCACACGTTAATGGGGTAGGTATTTTTAAATCCTAATTTTGTCATCCTCAATATGTATCAAAGCATCAAATTACATAGAAACCATCAAATATCTCCTTATTGTCCTAAATTTTTTATGATTATAGTTTTCTTCTATTAAGAATACATCAGTTTATTCCCCCAAAAGGGTTAAGACAGTCCTTTTCCATGCTTAATAATAAATCATATCAACTGTACCACTTAAGATGAGAGTCACTTTTCTAGCATATTTAGAAATAAATTCAGGCTGATTCATTTAGTGTTTTACTGGTTGTCAAGTTGAATTAGATGCATTTGGTTTTTTACTTGTATTTTAAATGATGTCCTCACCTTTTCCTCTTTGGAAATTTTCTCTACATCAAACTAATGCATATTAAATAAAACAAGCAAACAGGTAAATGTTTAATTTAGGGCATTTTTTGAAAAACCAGTAAGACAACATTTTCTTTAACTTTTGTTGATAAATTCTTGGGTTAAAAAAAGTCTTAAAGGATAATTCTGTTCTCTGGGTCAGAACAGATGAACAGGTTTACTTTTCCTCAAAATTGATTAAAGATAAATAATTTTATTTGTTGAGGTAACACTGTTAAGAAAACAACTGATTACTGATTGACTTTTTCAAAATAACAAACACTTTGGAAGCAAGCAGATGTTTTATTCCACAAATATTTCCAGAGCAGCTACTAAGCGCCAGGGACTCAGCTAACAGCTGTGTGAAGCAAGGGTTATTCAGTCATTGGTTCTGTCCTGATGTGCTCAAGAGTCTCAGTGGAGAGGTAAGGTAAGCATGTAAATCATCACGAAATAAGGCAGAAAAGGATTAATACTTTCAGATGGAAAACTAAAACACTGTAGGAGTTCAGAGAAGGGAAAAAATGCTTCCCACAAGTAGCGTGGGAAGGGAAAAATCAGAGAAGGCTTCATGACAGCAGTGGACATGAGTAGATCTTGAAGGAGAGTAAGACTTCCACCAAGGCAGACGGGAGCCAGGTCTGCATGGGGAGTGTGCGGGGTGCAGGGAGGGCTGTACAAGTAGAGAGCTGGGGCAATGTCAGTAAGCAGAAATACAGGCATTAGCATGGGTAAGAAAGAAAGGAGAAATAAGGGGGAAGAAGGACTTTGAGGATGTGAAGTCAAGTGGCTCATATTTCATCTGGTAGGCAAACGGAAAGCAATAAAGACTTGGAGCAGAGAGTAGTTTGATCAGACACATGCTTCAGAAAGATTAATTTAACATCAATGGGACAGGTGGGTAGGAAGGAAGACAAATTAGAGATGAGCAAACTGAGGAGTCTATCAAATAGTATAAATAAAAGGTAATGACAATAGAAACCAAGCAGTATGAGTGGGAATGGAAAGAAGGATATGGATGCAAAAAAAAATTTTTTTAATAGTACATTATAAATAGCATTTATGAAAAATATGGAATAAAGCCTTACCTGATTCTTCTGTATCTTGTTCATCTATTAAACCTACTGAGACGCCTAAATCCACACATTTCTTGCTATGTGTCTTGGACTTCATGTGTTTTGTCAGATTTCCTTAAGGGAAAAGAATGTTTACTAAGCTTACATAGTATTATTTTGCTATTGCATTTGTCAACACTGGCAAATTTCATTCCTATTTCAAGTGAAAGTACAGGCTGTGGTTATACAATTCCAATGACTAAAATTTGGAAAAAGAAAAATATTTCTATGTTGTAGAAACCTTGCTATTTGTTAGTAATAGTTTCTCTTTTTCAAATCTAACTCCTCTACTTAGACAATGTCTACTTTGGATCAATTTTCCAATTGCTTCTGCCTGGGACTTTAATGATTTCATACCACTGATTCTGGACCACAGGTTTGGTTTGGATTTTTACATTGCATAAGTATAGGGTTTTGATTTTCAGCAAGTAGCTTTTCTCCCGCATGGTCCAAAGTCATTGGACAGGACAGCCAGGCTTATTTTAGAGGTCTTGTACACCCTTCGGCATCAGCATTAACACCCCAAGTCTGAAGGCATATACCTGGTTTTGATGTCCCTATGGGCTTTTTTTTTTTTTTGTATCTGTTCATCATGCTATCTGGGAGTTTCTTTTTTCTTTCTGGTACCTGGGAATGAGCCTTTTTCAATTTCAAGTTTGACTATCAAAAACTGTATTTGGTTTCTGTTACATTATAAACAGTCATTCTGCGTGTTTGGCACGTAAGAAAGAATGCCCTGCATTGATTTCACTTCACCACACTGACTACAGGTTTCACAGCAGTATCTCTAAAGGTGTTTCCTCTGGCAGCTGGTGTATGGACCCCTATAAGTAGAACCAGGGTAAGCAGGAGCCACTGGGCATGCTTGCCCTGAGTGATCATGAATTCAGGGGGGAGCTTAGATTCCTCTGGGGATACCAAGCAGAATGCCACACACACACACACACACAAAACTGCCGACAGGAGAAAATCATCTCCTTTGAGAAAATAAAAAAATTTAAATACTGAGTTTGGGGAGTAGGGCAAATTAGTATTTGAGAATAAGTTTTTAGAAGAGCTAAAAATGACTGAATCAGTGGTCTAGATTTTGGGCTTGCTGTAGTTGAAGAACCTGCAAAACTGTTATATTTATAGAGCCTCGATTAAACTAAAAATGCACTTAGCCCATGGAACTGGTCACACTCGTTCAGGCCAATTCTTGCACTAGACAGTATGCATAGCATCCCACAGCTTAGTGCTGCAGGGGTTAAAGTGTAAGAGGTTGCCGGGGCCAGATAATGTCTAGGATTCATCAAACCTGCCCTCTATGATTCTAGAGATAACACATGGCTTAAAAAAAGCTTGACCATGTCTGACATTTACTTTAAATACACTTAAAAATAAAATATAAAGCAAATAATGGAAAAATATCAATTAATATTTTTAAATGATGAGTATGTCAGTGTTTATGATACAGATTTCTACTTTTCTGTATGCTTTAGAATTTTCACATTAAAAAGTTATAAAAAAAATGGTTGGGCCATGTTAATTGGCTGATATTTCTACTTATAAGTCAAAACACTTTCTACTATGATAATAATATTACTCAAATACAAGATGCACTAATAATTTCCTTTCAAAATGCTTTTGTTCTTTAAATAGAAAGCCAAAGGTTATTTCCTTTCTAAAAAAGTTAATGATTAATTGTAACTAGGTATATTTGGGAATATAAGTTTTTAATAAGCAAGTTTTCTCGTAACCTGAGCTATTACTGTTAAACAACTTCTTAAATAATTTAAAGTAAACAAAACAATTTGCATTTAAATATGCATATTAAAATGCAAATATCCACTAGCAATGCTATAAACTTTGCGCATTAATTTGATAGATAAAATTTTTAACAGATTTAATAAACATTAATCTAAACCCTCTAGAAAGCGTAAGAGATTTTGTTTCTGGGTTCCTATAACTACAAATAGAGTCTAGCTTTCTATGATGTAAATGGGACTAAATCCTACAGAGATGCAAGTTCACTGTATATTTCCCGTTGACTGACCTTTAAAGCAGAATGGCGAAAACAAATCAATTATTTTGAAAATGTACTCATAAAATAAATTAAGAGCACAAATGATGAAGTACAGAAGTATAATTATTACCATCAGAAGCATCAATTGCTAGTTCTACAGATCATTCCCTTGATAGTATTTTGCTATCTTTGCTCATATATATATATATATATATATATATATATATATATATTGCCATTATATCACGATTACTTTCGCTTAATAACCAGACACATTCAATAAGAAGTAGAGTTGAACTGGCTAGGTAAACAAAATAAATGAGAGTAGAGCAAAATCTATAGCCTAACATAAAACAAGTCTATTATTATTTAGTTATCTTTAAAAGGTGGTATGGAATCTTTTCTACACATATTTACAAAAGCTAGACTGCTACAGGGGAAGCTGACTATCATGCCAAGAACAAAAAAATACTGAATTTCTAAGATTTTCTTTCTTAATCACTTTATTATACAATTCCTATGAATTAGCTGACAAAACAAAAAATTTAATGTGAATTCAGTTATGCAGCTTATTAGAGAAATGACATGAAAACATACAATGGATCACTTTTCAGAGGTCATTATGCTCTGTCCATCATTGAACAAACATTCATCTAAAATTTTACAAGATGTTGTATTGAGTTATTTCACTAAGATTAATACTTGGTGATCCATAATATTCTTCTTTGCCAAGAAATCTCTATAGTCTCATTTGGTTTTCCACATCTAAGTTTTCCTTCCTTTCTTGCCCTTATTTTATGAACATAATTTTTAAAATATCCTGATTCCTTTCCCTCCTTCTATTGAGTAACACCCACTTCATATTTAGCTTGATTCTCTTTATTTGTAACATCATTCAGTACTTGGTAATCTTTTATTAGTTACATTGACTTATTATTATTGTTCTGGCCTCATAACAGAAATTGATAGATGTTTCTTAATCACAGAATTAAAACCAGTTAAAAAAAAAAAAAAAGGCAAGAAATTAGGTTAAAGATCAAGGCACTTTATCCTATCAAAGCCTTCCCACAAGACCAAAAAAATCATCCTGAAATTCACCCTCCACTTCCGGAAACAGGTTCTATAGCACAATCAAAGGACTACAGAATTACTATTTCCCCCAACTCCTCATGATTTCTTGAACCTTTTTAGAAATGTTCAAGGCTATCTGAAGAACAGTTTTGTTTTTAATCATTCTTATTTCAGATGCTATTGGCATTTAAAAAGAACTACTTTGAAGCTACTTAGATACTACATAATTCTCTTTAAATGCCAATAGATACTAGACAAACAATGTAAAAAATTTGCTAAAGAGTTGACCAATCTTTAAGACAAAAGCTGCAAAGACAATAAAAAGGCAAAGCAAATGCTAACTCAAAAAAGATAACAATAGATTCTGTAAAAAATTATCAATTAAATATTTTTTACAGATATAATCCTTTCAGACATAATTTTATAATTATATTGTTTTAGAAAGATTCTTACGATTCTTTTTTTTTTTAATCTTCACCTGAGGACATTTTTCCATTTTTTGTTCAGACAGAGTGGGAGGGAGAGAGGACGAGAGAGAGAGAGAGAGAAAGAGAAAGAGAGAGAGAGAGAGAGAGAGAGCGAGAGAGAGAGAGAAACATCGACGTAAAAGAGACACATCAAGTGGCTGCCTCCCGCATGACCCAACCAGGGCCGGGGACAAACTGCAACCCTTACGTGCCCTTAGCGGGAACCAAACCTGGGTGTCTCTGGACTGCAGGCCGACACTCTAATCACTGAGCCAAACCGGCCAGGGCAAGAATTTTACTTTTTAAAGGGTGTTCCATGAAATTAAAATTTCAAGTAACAAATTTTCATATAACGATTCATGAACAAGGGGCCCAATGGAGAAAGTAAACATTTTATAGTAGTGCATTCGTTATATGCAACAGAATATTTGTAGAGAGTAAAATTAACTTCACTATAGTAAAAGCTTATAATTTAAGTAACGTACAGGGTGGGGTAAAAGTAGATATACAGTTGTTCATATAAAAATAATACAATAATTAATAAATAACAATATAAAAATAAACTGTTTCACTTACAAATGTAAACCTACTTTTGCTACATCCTGTATAAAGAATACAGAAAGAGTGCTAAATATAATTTTAATGACTAGTTCTGAGTTCTATAAACATTAAACAGTGTAAAAGCTAGAAAATTTTTAAAGATGAAATTCAACAGAATTTGGGTTAAAGAAATGAAAAAGAAAAAGAAACGGCTGCATGCCTAAAATTAGATACTAGAACATGAATGTAATCATAAGTTTACTGCAGTTATTATTTACATTTTTTTCAATCTTTTAACAGCTAAGTAATCACAAAAATTCATTTTTCCTCTTTAGCCTCAAATTAAGTATTTCTGAAAATGTCTTAGTCATCATGTCATGTGACTGTACTGGGAGTACAATTTTTAAAAGGCAGTTACTCCTAAAAAGTTATATTTATTACATATATTCTAAAAGCATGTAATTAAAAACTGTTTTTTTCCAAGAGGTCCAGAAACATAAAGAAAAAAGGCTACCGTGTTGACAAGATATAATTTATATAAGTCTATTTAAGCTACTGCATCCTTGGTCAAAGAATATGTAAAGTTGAGTCTTAGTGCTACTAACTCAATGCATATAAAAAGGACCATGAAGCAATGTCATCTCATACCTTTCGTCTTAAAGGAGAAGTTACAGTAAGTGCAGTGGTAGGGGCGGACATCTGTGTGGGTTCGTATGTGTTTCTTTAACATACTAGGTTTCTTACAACGTATTCCACATTCTTCACAAATGTACTTTCCTCTTCCCCTGCCTCGGACATATACATACTCTTCATTTGATTTATATCTAATTTAAAGAAAGAAAAATGAATAGGGAAATTGGATACTATGTCTCTGAGAAAATAATAATGATTAAAATTCAACCTAAAAAATAAAACAAGGCACAATTTTTAGACTCAATCATATAAATTTTATGCATGTACAAGTAACAGAATATTCTAGCTTTTCACATCAACACTTAATATTCTAATAGCTAATTCTAGCCAAACAACCTTATTCAACACTAGATTTAATTTAAAAATATTTCCTCTTTTAAATCACTGGGTTTAAACGTTTTCTTTATTGTCAAATTCAATCACAACAACTATAAATACTGAAATATTTCTGAGCTTCACGATAACTACCATTGGCTTCTACATTTTGTTTTCTCATAACCAAATACATACAGACTTCAAACAGGCAATGAGTTAGTTCATCTCTTTTAGAGCAGGTTTTCCAAGTCATTTATTATTATTAATGAATGTGAACCCCAAGGTTCACTCCGAAAACGTTCTTAGCCACTTCCTAGGACCTACAATATTTCCTAAATAGTGATTGTTTCCTTGAACAAAATGGAATTATTTAACATAATACTAAATATATATTTTGCCATGAAGATTCCATTAATAAGCTGAGATACCTTCCAATATTTATGTAAAATTGGCACTGATAAGTCTTCATTCACATGAAAGCAAATGTACATTTAAAAGTAAGTTTAAATGTACATTTAAGAAGTAAGATTTGTACTTGCCCTCCATCAAATATTTTAATTCTTCTTGGTTCACTTTTGATTAAGGAATTTTCTTTATCTTGCTCACTGTTAATTTCAGAGGCATCTTTATTGCTGAATTCAACTACTGTGGACTTTTGATTACCTAATGCTCTCTGAAAGGAAAAAAAAAAAAAGAGAAACTAATTTAATGAAACTGAAAACACAAACATGCTGATGCTTCACTTGGAAAACAAACATGGCAGAGCACAGTGCACACAGTTAACTTTAGGAACCACGTTTTAAGGTAGTGAACAGGTTAAAGGTCATTGGCTTTATCTCCTCCCTTATCTTTAACATAATCTGTCTAAACCACAGCAAACCAATAAATCTTATGCTATTTTAAAATCCCACCAGAGTAGTCTACTGACACCCCCAGAGGAAGGATTTACAACCTCCTACGTCCTGGTACTCCAGGAGTTTAGTAGGAACTATTTTTTAACAGACTAAATATTTCCTCTTATATCTAACAACCACTCACACTGCAATTTAAGTGTGTTTCTCAAAGAGTTTATTCTTTGGAGATGGCAAAGAGCTAGTTACCCCTTTTGGTATAATGTCTTACACTCCTGAGAAACATGACTAAATCCCCTTCAAGTTCAATGAACTGTCAGTTAAAAGCTAAGTGCCATTTCCCAAAATTTCAGTCTGCCCTTCTCCCATCACTTTAAACCATAATTATGTGTCCTCTCTGTATCTTCTCCAGAGTTCCTGAACACTGAGAACTGTGAGACACAGATACAGAACAGGTCAAAAGCTAGGTTTGGGCCTGATAATAATTAAATCTCTAGAAAAAGGCAATGAACTCAAAATGGCCACACTGCGTGCTCTTCTACAGAAACATTATGGTAACACTACCTTATTTATGGCTCTTATACAAACGCACCATTCACAAGTTTCCTCAGTCTGCAGCCCATTCCACGCTCAAATGTCTTTGTGAGGCGGCAGCACAAGTGGATCATATCCCAGTGAGGAAGGACACTCGCAAGGTTAAGTCACTTGTCCAAGGTCAAGTGTTAACAGCAAAGGCTTAAACTCCAGTCCCCTGGCCAACTCCAACACAAGGCACGGCGTTTCTAATCAAGGGCCTCTTTGTTACAAACCTCCTTAAAAATTACATCACCACACAGACAGCTATTGCATCAAGATGACTCAGTTGCAGTTGATAAAAGGGTGTGTGCATCATGGATGGAGGGCCTCCGGGCTCAGAAAGAGGGCCCTGGAAGTCCCTGTCCTTACAGAGCCAGAAATGAAGAAATGCTGCTGGACTGAGTTTCTGAAAAAGGTGGTATGAACAGAGAATGACACTGACCCTCACAGGTGAAAATCAACCTTCTCCTTTTCTTTTCCTGGCAAACACATCAGGTTCCCCCTCCACTTGCAAAATATACACACTTTTCCTTGACTTTGTATCTTTAAGAGAAATCCAAATTCCCACTTATCTTTTGCTCCCTTCTTAATATCAAATCTGGTTTCTATTTATCAGTTACCAATGAGCTAAATGCTAAAATCCTTATCATTTCCTGAGTTTTTACATCTTTGACCACTCCGTGGCATTTTATGTTGTTGACGCCTTCTCTTAGAAATCCTCTTACTTTAGCATTCAGCTATTCTTTTCCATTTTGAATTGTAAATACATTAACATTTGTGAGTTAGCGTCAACCCAAGAGCCTATCCTCCATAGCCACTTGCTCGTTTGACTCAAGTCTCCAGTGGTATTAGAATTGATCAGTCCAAATGCCATGTTAGCCTTCACATTTATCTGACCTCTCTGCCTGAACAACTTTCCCTGAAACACCTTCTCCCTTGATCTGTGGAATAGCATTTTCTCAGAGCTCCCTCCTTCCTCTATTAACAATCTCTTTCAGTTTACGTGCCCTTTCTTCCTTCGGTCAACCCTTCAAAGTAGTGATTCTGGAATCCATTCTAGGCCCTTGTCTCTTCTTTACCCCTTCCCTGAGCAATCTCATTAATTACACCTATGCACTAAGAAATCTCCATTCTTTCCGCCTGGAGCTCTCTCCTAGTTCCAAATCTAGATATGTGCATTTCCAGAGGCTTTTCTACCAAGGCACCTGGTACTGAAGAAAAGCCACTTTTCATAGGTACTTCAGGAATATACATGCAGCTCTGTTTAAATTCTCATAATCGGGTCTCATCTTCCAAGGTTCTGATTGAGTAGATCTAGAGTAGAGTCTGAGCATTTAAAAATTAAATTCTGAATGGTGTGGATGCACCCTCCACACCTACTTCACTGAGAAAGTTAGCACTGGCTCTCCACCACCATGCATATTCTTTGGTTTCTATCTACACTTCCAAATTCGAAGTATGTCACTGTTTCAACTTACACCATCTTCTAGCCATGACAGATTCCTCAGGGATCTTTAAATCACCCAAGCTCTTTCTCACTTCCATGTCACTCATCAGACTATTACAATTTCTCATTTTTATTTGCCTGGGAAAAAAAATCCCTACTTTATTCTTAAAAAACTCAGCTAAATCCAGCACTTTTGGAATATCTTCCCTGTTTCCATACCTCCTCAACCTAGTGGTAGGTAGTGTTAGGGACTTCCTCCTTTTTAAATTTGTATGTACATCTATTATAATACCAAACTGTGATATCTTCCTATGGATAAGCATGTTTCCTATGTTTATAAACCTGCATTATGTGCTCATGAACCTGCAGTGGTCAAGGACTTAAACTGTAACTCTGAATGTCTGGAGTCCAGTACAATACCCTATCTATCTATCTATCTATCTATCTATCTATCTATCTATCTATCTATCAATTTATCTACCTATCCTCAATCACGTAAATGATTTTTTCCCATTTTATAGCCAACAACTCTAATAAGACCCATTCCACCTCTATAAATCTTAACCAAATCAACTTAATTATCAAGTATCTGAGTTATTTTGGGAATTCTCTCTAGTACAAAGATGATTCTCAGAACTACAGAATGGCTGTCTACTTATACTTCAAAATGATATATAACAATCTTCAATTATTCACACCTCTGTCCCCTGGCACTAGTAAGGACAAAGCATAAAAATAATCTCCTCTCACTTAACAAGAAAAAAACTTTCATGTAGAAAATGAGAGTAAGATCACGATTATTGCACTATTAAAAGTAAAGACTTAAATGAAAAGTGCTCAGGGAAAACTATCATTTTCAAAATGTCTCAAGATAGAAAAGACTCCAGGCAATCCTTATGAGTATAACTGCTGGGGCATATTCATCATCCTTTCTTTCAAAGAATTACATATCCATGAAGTATAATTTGTCATTCACAACTTCTAATTAAAGAATGTAAAGGCACTAAGACATGTTAAAACTCATTTGCACAAACTATTTTTGAAAATAAATAATATTTTAAGTACCTTGCTTAAGTTGCTTTTCCACTTGCTTGAATAGACCAATAAATCTGATTTGGAATGGGTGGCTATTGCTTGACAATATAGTGATTTTTCAATCTTCTGTTTTGAATTAAGGAGGGAAAGAGCAACTTTTGTAGGCAAACCAAGTGGATTTGGATTGCTGGCGCTGACTGTCCAGTCAGTGTAGGCGGAAGTTTTCTGATCATCCTGAGGCACGTGTAAGGTTCTCTGTCTGAGGAGATAACACCACGTAAAGCTGGTCGTGGTCTTCAGGCTGGGGAAAGACAGCTGCGGCCCGTCTCCAGCATCCGACGCCGAAAGAGCGGTGGTTGTAGGTTGACTTTGTTCTTGGATGCACAATGTGTCACCTTGATTTTTCACCTCCAGAGAATTCCTTTCTTGGTTATCATCTACCCTTTGCAAAGGAGAAATGTGGGTATTTTCTGAAGGGACAGGCGAATTTCTAGCTGTAGGAGTAAGCGATGTGGATGATTTGATGTTTTCAAATTCTTGCAACTCTTTTATAGGTTTTACAACCACAGACTCAGAGTGTCCTGATGATACATTATCAGCTGGTAAAACATCTGTGAAATTAACCACCTCACTATTAATTTCAGGTTGAGAAAAAGTATCTTGTTCCAATGTCACCACTTCAAGGGGCTCAGTAGTACAGACCTGCCTCACTAAAACAGGTTTCTTCTGTTTATTGACTTCATTCGCTCTTGAATTCAGTGGTTCGAATGGTCTGATATCTGTTGCACAAACAGCTCCATTTTCATCTTTGGCTCGCTTTTGATGCTTTTCCATGGCAATGTCCAAACTGTTTGCTGGGGAAAGCATCCTTTTACTTGTAGCTGAAGGTTCCTGTTGGGGGGAAAGTCTACCAATAGACATTTTCTGGGGTCCGGGCAAGGATTCTGACAGAGAAGAATTTTGGCCCATCTCTGAAAAAACATTTTCGCAAACAAGTTTTTCCTCTGGGTTTGGCAAAGCATTCTGGTGAACTTTTTGCAATTTTGGCAGACAATTTTGTTCTTCACTGATTGGCACCACACTATGATTAGGCTGGCAAACGGGCTGACTGGACAGATCTTGGGTCACAAGGATCTGTGGCAGAGGTGTGACCGTGGCAAAGCAGTACCCTGGAACATTACTCTGCAGAGACACGGGCAGTGCAAACGATGTCGGCACCTTCTGCACCTGACCACCGAGGGGCCCGAGCTTTGGTGGCGGTGGAGGACATGAACTGGACATGGCATCTACTTGTCTGGTTGCTAATGCTAGTGAAGTCATATGATGGTCAGCTCCAACTGGATCTGAAAGAACTGGCTTTGGCAAAGAATGTACAGGGTTAGAAGAGCAAGACTGGCTTGAAGTGAAAACCTGACACTGCAGTTGGTACTTGGGAGCAAAGCGATCCTCACTGTTAGAAGATACACACACACTGGTATTTGCATCTGGTTTGACACTCTGTGTAGACATTTGCAGAGACATCTGTGTGTTATGGTGGCTAAGGGGTGCATGGATTTGATTTAACACATTAATACCAAAGAGCTGTTGAACAGGAAAGATGTTAGCAGAGTTGGAATCTGAAGTTTCTGTTTGCAGATCCCTCACCTGGGTCTGGGAGTGCATAGTGTTCGCAGGAAACTCAGCTAAGGACACATTAGTGAGCGGAGGCCCCTGCAATGGCAGTGCACTCACACCAGGAAGAGCAATCGTTTGGAAAGATGACAGGTTCCCAGCAGACATGTGACTCTCTGGAGCTATGTTTAAAGATATCTGCCGTATCAGTGGGCCTCTCCTTCTCTCCAAGAGAGGCACGTGCCCGGTCACCCCCATGCCAGAAGGGGACGTTGGAGGCTGCAAGTCAACAAGTGGCGTTGTCTGAGGTGGAGTTATGCTTCCACAGTCAAATGACTTACTTCTGACATCAGAGACCTCCATGGACGTCTGCACGCAGCTGATCTGTTCGGAGGCAGCGCGCCTCATTTCCCGGTGTGTTCCGGGAATGTTTAGTGCATTAGAGCCAGCTGGGATCAAGAGAAACTCTGTTTTATTGAGAAAAGCGATTTTGGGGGAAGCCTCCGGTTTAGAAACATCCTCTACATCTAATGAGGCTGAGAAACTGGAGGTATGAGATAGGCTGCTCTCCTTACTTAGACTCCTGGAGAGTGTGGAATCAAAACTTGACTCAGTTGAGGAATGCTCTATCTCGGCAAGACGGAGCCTCTTCTTTTTGGGTGGCAGTTTCTCTGTCGGCAATTTGGACAGCGTTTCGCTACGCTGAGGCCAACTGAACTTCTCTGATTTTTCCTGATCGGGTCCTTGGCTTCCAAGGTCCCGATCTGGCTCTTCTGTGACCAGAATTTCTGGGACTTGGATGCTGTGTTGCCGAACAAGCCTTGAGGGCTGTCCTAACACATGCCGTTCACTTGAGAACTTTCTTGAACCTTCCTGAAGTTCTGCTCGAAGAACATCTGAGAGTGCAGGCTGCTGAGGATGAAACGTGTTCCGAGCAGGGTGACATTCCTCTGGGGAAATCCCGATCACTTTCAGGGGCCCGAGCTTCACTGTTCTACTCAGCTCCTGAAAAGCAGCGGGAGGGCCTCTTTCAAAGGACTCGAGCTTGTCAAACGAGCCGGGTCTGCTCAGTGAGTTGGTGTGCTGGATAACCGAGATCCCAGCTCCATGTCTCTTCGACTCCATCTTGTCCTGGGCCGCGGAGCCGACCTGTTGCTCCACGATGGTGGACAGCTTTGGATCCACGGTCTGCTCGGGGCCTCGTGCAACAAGCTGAATTTGGGCGTTTTGCAACTGCGTATTTTGATGCTGCTGGTCACTTGTGATGACAACACTGTGTTTAGGCAAACTGGAAGCAGAGCCCATAGTATTCTGAAACGGAAGTCCTTCGGAGCTTTTCGGAGAAGCTCCGCTTTCGTTCTGCTGAACTTCATCATCGTCTCCAACGCTTTTCATCTTCCTCCTTTTCCTTATCTGGGGCGTCTGTTCCCAGGTCCCCGTGGAACCAGCCACTCTGTAGTGCAGAATCTGGGGTTGTGTACTGCTAGGCATGGGGCTGTGTTCCGGTTCCCTCACAGCTACCTTTGTTTTTGGTCCATGTAACTCTGAACAGTAAAATTTCTTATGGTTTTCGAAATTTTCCAGTTTTCTATACCTGTTTCTACAAGTTTCACACTCAAACATTGTCCCCCGCCCTTGATGAGACTTCTTTTTCTCTACATGTGAGCCTGGTGCCAATGACCTGTTCCTCGTGGCCATTTCGCTAGTGGCACTGCATCCTTGATAGCTCTCGTCCAAGGACTGTCCAGTACCGAGGACATGGTTTTCACCTGTGGAAGAGTCTTCGACTGCTGCTTGTCTGACGAGGGTACGGGGATGTCCACTTTGGGGCACAGAAGTGTTAGGTCCTGATACAAAGACATCATCATAGAGAGCGCCGATTTTGTCATCAAAGGACTGACTTCCTCTCAGTGGGTGGGGGGGAGGTATTATGTTCGCAGGTACTGCTGAATAACCTGTGGTAGGCATAGAATTACTTCTTGTAATAGGTAAACAGTCAAGGGAAGGTACGGAGAGAAGAAACACCTGCTTTGACTTCTCAGTGGGGGTGAAAGGGGACTTTGGTATATCAGAGCTTGAACTTGTTCTCCGTCCCATTGGTTTTAAATCAAACTGGAAAGAATCCTTAAATATGTAGGATTTGGGGGAATCAATACTTCCTCGTCGTGAAAGAGAGGTTCTCCGTGGCTTCACACTGTCCAGTTGCTTGTCATCTACCAGGGCTTCATTGTCTGAGATAAGCTTTGATATCCGTTCTTCAAGTGTTTTTGTTGCCAAAGGTGGGCGCATCTGACCTGGTAAAAGCAATGCTTTTTCACCTGTTGGCAATGTAGAAGGTGCTGGTGTATTGATACGAGGTGTGGAGGGCCCAATATTCTTATTTGAGTCTTGTTCCATAGTGGGTAATGTTCTGGCAAAAGGAGCTGGTGGGCTCACTGTTTGATCAGCACTTTCGGAACGTGAAAAGTAACCAGAATCTGTACTTCCTAAACTTCGAGGACTCAGAAGTTTTCCTTGTTGCTCTTGGGAGTAATCAGTAGCCTGCTGCCTTTGTAGCTGGGCATGTACTGTTCCTACATGAGAGGAGTCTTGTTTTGCCTCTGGCTGGCTCGTGTTCCCTTTCTGATGGGACCTTTCATCAGTCTCTAGGGAGGACGTCCAGGCTGAATGTGACAGCACACTGGTAACCTGAAGGTCCTTCTGTTTCTGTGCACTAGAAGGTTCAAGCTTAGAATCCGTAAACTTTGGGCTGTCCACTCTTAAAGGGGTCACATTGACAGGGTGGACCACGACTTTTGGTAACTCTGTCATAGCTTGTGATTCTGAAGATTTGTCCTGTAAAACGTCACCTACCACATGATCTGGATTGCTTGGAATGGAAGTTGATTGGGGTAAAGCGGCAGAATTTGAAATCATTTTCATTATCTGTCCAGGCTGCAGGTCCACGGAGCCCGGGTCATTCTGCCTGTCATCAGCAGCGCTCTCATCATCGCTCTCCCCGCTGTCTTCTGCGTCTGAGTGGATACTAAGTGCTTTGGGGGACTCGTGCGACAGGAACAAACCACCAGCATCCGGCTGCAAGACGAGGCCCAGCTTGATAGTATGTGCGTGGGATTTTTTGTGCTTGTACAGATTACTTTTAGTCTTAAATGAAAATCCACAGGTCACACAGGGATAGGGCCGCTCCCCAGTGTGGGAGCGGATATGCTTCAGAAGTACACTTGGCTTTGCACATGCTCTATTGCAATACTCGCAAATATATTTTCCTTGTTTTTTTTGCTTCTGATCTTTCAGAAGAAGATTGCACATTTGCTCAACGCTGTGATTCACAACTGAGGCGACAGGCGTTGAACTGTACACTGGTGTGGGGAGTGACTGTGCAGAATGGGCCGGGCTGATGGACACAGGTGAAGCAGAATCCATGTGCTGGTTTTGAGGAATAACCTGAGTTCTACTGGAAGGTGCAGTCAGACCTACAGATGCTGGCACTGCTGTGTGATATGCCTGTTCAGGATTGGGGTTCTCTTGACTGTGCAGGTTCATCGGCGGTCTTGTGAAACCTGAACACACTGGAAGCTGTGGATTCTGTTGGTTGGTTTTAGGAACAAAGTGTTCGTGTTGATTATATGGATGAGAAACAGCCTGGGCTGACGCTGGCTCACTCGTCTGAGTGGCAGACACAGGCACTGTGCCTGAGGTACAAGACTGGGATTCAGAAACACATTCTTGCGAAGTCTGACTTGGGGCATCTATTGAGCTGTTTTTTAATTGAGAGGGAGGTTGTACAGTTTTATTTGGTCTTAGTTTTTCTATCTTAACTGCACAAGATGAGCCCTTTTGTGCCAAGGTGCTCAGTTCTGGCTCCATTGCTTTCAGTAAGACATCAAATGCGGTGTTTGTGTATGAGGAGGAAGGAGGACTACACTTAGAGGAGATACATTCACTACGGTCAGTCCTGGTTTTACTCGACAAAGAACTAGAGTCACATTTCCCATCGAGGAAACTGAACTTGGCGGGGTCGGCGCCTTCTGAGCTCCACCTGCGCAGTTCGGTTGGATGCGCCAGGAACAGGGGCTTCTTTGGGGAGACAGGTTCTTCAGACTTGGCGGCCTCGGTAATTATCCCAGGTGTTTCTCCGTTGTGTTTGGTAAATTGCTTCCCATTTTTTACAGGACTGTGATTCTGTTTCTTGTGAGACTCTGAAGTACTCTGAAGAACAGCAAGAGATGACTCTTCCGTATTTTGTTTATGTTTTGCCTGAAGAGGATTTCTCAGAGGGGATTTGGGTATTTTTTTCAGGTGATTCTCAGCTACAATCTTTTTTCGTTTCACACCTTTAAGTGATTCTGAAGTTCCTTTAATACCAGCCTCCAAGATTTCTGTTAAAAAAATAAAACAAAACAAAAATACAATTGATAAAATGGTACATATACCAACTATAATTTTTTAAAATTAAGATTACTATCATAAGGGTGTTATGACAATTGAACAAGGCAGATTAAGAAAAGCCTATTTTGAATAAAACTACATTCTAACATTCTTAAGAATGTTGCCAATCAAAGTCCATGAAAACAATTGCACAAAGACCTTAGTGACATTTCCAGAATGCTGTACTACCCTCTTGACCCCCACCCACCAAGATCTTGGAACCAGGTAAATGCGGTATCGCGTCCTCCCACAACCACATCAAAGTTACAACTAAACTACAGAACAACCATCATTCAAAACCGCCTGAAATCAAGCTGAATGGGAGTCCTACAACTTCGGAATTAAAGTAGCAGCTGCATCAAGGCTGGTAGGAGGGGCAAGGCAGACAGGCTGGTCCCACACCCACGTGTGGCGGATAAAAATCAGGAGGACACCTCGGCTGGGAAGGTCCTCCCTGAGGACTGAGGGGTCCCCGTCCCACACCAGGTGCCCCACTCAGGGTTCCAGTGCCAGGAAGAGAGTCCCCATAACTTCTGGCAGCTCCTTAAAGGGCCCGAGCACGAACTTATCGGACTCACTCCCTCTAAGCTTGGAGGGGAGGCAGCTCGAGGGGCACCAGAGACATACAGGGAAGAACTGAGCTGTTTGGCACTGGAGCGAGGGCTGGAGAGGGGGCTTTCTCCGGGACAAACGTGCTGTCAGAGGCCTTTGTTCCTTCGGTGAGCCCTTCCCTGGGGCGGCAGACAGCCGCCATATCTGGGACTCCAGCAACCTGGCTCACACTGGTTGTCCCCACCCTGGTGACTCCCTGAGGCCCCGCCCCCACCCAACCTTCAGGCCCACCCAAGCTGTTACCACTTGCTTAACCATAGGATTGGCCACTCTTGGATCCTGCTTCAGGTTTTCCTAAATTCTTTCAAACAAGCAGAATCTGGTCTCAGATAGCCCCATACCGCTCGTTAAGTGATACACAGAAACAAACACAGGGAGGCAGCCAAAATGAGGAGACAAAGAAACAGGTCCCAAATGAAAGAACAGAACAAAACCCCAAGAAAAGAACTAGCAAAATGGAGATAAGCAACCTAACAGATGCTGAGTTCAAAACACTGCTTATAAGGATGCTCAATGAACTTAGTGAGAACCTCAGTGAACTTAGGGAGGGCCTCAAGAGCATAAAAAAGGACCAGTCAGAAATCATGGATGCACAGTCAGAAATGAAGGAAGCATTAACTGAAATAAAGAATAATTTACACAGGTTCAATAGTAAAGTACATAAATCCAAGAAGCAAACCATTGATTTGGAATATAAGGAAGCAAAAAATGCCCAATCAGAACAGCAAAAAGAAAAAAGAATCCAAAAAAATGACGATAGTGTAAGGAGCCTCTGGGACAACTTTAAGTGTGCCAACATTTGCATCTTGGGGGTGCCAGAAGGAGAAGAGAGAGAACAAGAAATCGAAAACCTGTTTGAAACAATAATGGCAGGAAACTTCCCTGACTTGGTGAAGGAAACAGACATACAAGTCCAGGAAGCACAGAGAGTCCCAAACAAGATGAACCCCAAGAGGCCCACACCAAGACACATCATCATCAAAATGCAAAAGGTTCAAGACAAAGAGAGAATCTTAAAAGCAGCAAGAGAAAGGCAGGTAGTTACCTACAAGGGAGTTCCCATAAGGCTGTCAGCCGATTTCTCAAAAGAAACTTTGCAGGTCAGAAGGGAGTGGCAAGAAATATTCAGAGTGATGAAAAGCAAGAACCTACAACCAAGATTACTCTATCCTGCAAAGCTGTCATTTAGAATCGATGGCCATATAAAGACTTTCCCAGACAAGAAAAAGTTAGAGGAGGTCGTCACCACCAAATCGTTATTATGAAATGATGAAGGGTCTTTTTGAAGAAAAAGATAAAATATATGAACAAACAAAATGGCAATGAATACATATCTATCAACAATGGAATCTACAAACAAAATGAACAGGAAGAACTGAAACATTCTCATAGATACAGAGAACATTTTGTTGGTTGCTAAATGGGAGGGGGGTTGGGGGAATGGGTGAAAAAGGTGAAGGGATTAAGAAGTACAAATTCACTGCTAGACTGACAAACCTCAAAGAGAAAGAGTTGGGAGGTGGGAAGAAATAAACCAAAGAACTTATATGCATAACCAATGGACACAGACAATAGTGTGGGAAAAGGTGGGAGGGGTGCAGGAGTGGGGAGGAGGGGGTCAATGGGGGAAAAAATGAGGAACATCTGTAATACATTCAACAATAAAGATTTTAAAAAAAAGGTCATAATGTTGTAATATCCTTCAGTTAAAAAAAGTCACCAATCTAACTGAACAAAATATCCAATGGCTATGTTTCTTTGTCATGAAAGACAGGCAAGGAGTTCAGCAGGAGGCATGCAGACATACAGAGCTTAATGCAGAGGAGATGAAACCACCTCCATGCTTGGCTGTGTTGAAGATAAATCACCGTTTCAATAGTATCAACAACCCACTATCTCTGCCAACTAATACATTTTTGAGCAATAATTATTTGACATCATTTCGTTTGTACCCATTTGTTAAATCCTTAGGCACATAAACAAAAATTATTCAAGTTTATGTTACTTATTTGTAGAAGAGCCAAATACTCTAATTCCTTATTATTTTCAAATAGCAGTTGCAATGTACTATTTGAAATTCATATTAGACCAAATTGTCTACACAATAATAACTACTTTGCACTTACTGAAGATATAATTTACATAAATAAAAAATATTCTAGTCATCTTGTAACACTTTATGTGCTGTCATATACTTGTTTAATGAAAAAATCACATGCTAATCTGATAAAAGTATATCTATCCACCATAATCAGAAGGAACTAAAAGAAGGTGGCAGGGGTGGGGTCTCATAACAAATGTTCGAGCTAAATAACAAGGAAAAAAAAGTATCTGTATTGTTGCTCTCTCTACAAAATGACGTTGAGCTAATCTTTTATTTTCTAATCATTTATCGAATGCTGTTTTCCCACTGATTTTCCCCTCTTCCAGAGGGATGTAGCAAAGTCGTGCTGTACTTTGTGCCTCTCATTAATTAGAGCCGACAAATGGGCAAAAGGGAAACTGATAATGATCCAGGGTGAGTAGTTTCCACCCTCACTTCCAAAAAGCTTGGAGGTGGGTTGTAATAAAAATGAAAGCCACTGGGCTGATACAATGAGTATACAAACACAGAAGAGAAACCACTTGGTCAGGAGCAGCAGTTCTCAGCTTGGGCAAACTGTCCAAGTAGGAACACCAGAGTTTTGTTTTTGTTTTTTTTAATTTGCCCATGCCAGGCCCCATCCAGAGCCCTGGTGGGGATAAATATGTTCATTTATGTTTTACATATTTTTTTGGAACAGCTTTTATTTTTAAATAAACTTATTACAAAATTAAATAATCTCTTAAACCCCTCCCCCAAAAGCAAAAATTCAACCCACAGGCAGAACACCCAGAAATATCACATTAAGTTTTAAAGGAACTGTTCTATTATATGTTTTAAACAAAAAGAGTAAAATCTATCTTTATACTTACATGCAAATGAAGCTGAAGTAAAAATAAAGGAATTATTAAACTTAAGATCCATATTTCTTTAGAGTTACTATTTCCTAAAATTTCCTCTGTGAGTTAAGAATTTGAAAAACCCTATCTTAAATAGATTTTTTTGAATGACATATTTCAATTTTAGATAAAGAAAGATCTTTCTTTTGTCAAAGTTTATGACATTTACATTCCACTTGCATAATGGTTTATTCTCGGTTCTCTATTTGAATTTCAACACTTACCTGTGCTAATACCAGCTCTTCCCTGCACACTCTGCACCCCTGTGCCTTCTGGCCATGAGGCTCATGTGCAGGAGCCAGCTCCCCCTCCTTGAGGGGACTTGCCTTTTTTCTGCCTGCATGTCTACAAATTCTTTATTTTTAAAGCCTTTATCATACAACTAGGAGTCAGCTCGGAGTCAATGTAAAACTTTTAATTTTTTTCCCTAGAACACAATAACCTTCTCTCTGAGGAGATTAGTTTAGTATACGTCAGAAAACTTTTCTTTTATTATATCCTCAAATATACTTTCTGGTCTAATTTTTTTCAGAGTGGGTTTCCTTACTTTATAAACATAAATTATCTTTATAATATATCCCCATTAGGATGATTTATATTGCTTTCATGTTCTTTTCGCTTTTGCTTTCGCTTTCTCTAGAATGATCTAAAGCCCCTTATGGCAATAATTCAATTTCCAGGCCATTAAGTTCCTTACTGTTTCAAATCTATTTGTTAGTTTTGGACTGATGTGGTTCTGTTCTCATTTTGTTCCCTTAGTTCCATATTTCCGTATTAATCTTGTTTTATTGTCTCGTATTATGTTCTATGCTTTAAAAGAATTTGTTTCTGAGGTAATATTTTCTTTAAGGCTGAGTTTTTGGTTTGCCTTTCCCTGTTCTCTCTGCTTTCAATTGCCCAAGATCATGGGAAATGGCAAGGAGGTGACATTCAACTGAGAGTATGTTCCTAACAGTCTTTTTATGAGTTGTGTTTATTCATTCTTCTAAGATTTTGTTGGATCTCTTTTAACAGGGTTCACTCTCCTTGTTCAAAGGATAATCCCATTCCATCACTGGGGGCTGGGTGGGAAAGATCCAGAATGTTGAAGCAGTCTGTAAGTTCAAAGACTTGCTGCTGCTTTTGCTGTCAGGAGGTGAAAGGATGTTGGAGGGGATGACAGAGAGAGAGATGTAAAAACAGGGAGGGTACCAGGCACGCAGATGAATACCGTACTATCGTTCTAGACTTGAAGCAAGTTGCATGCCTCGCTACTGCTTGTCAGTCTTCTTCCCTGGTTCTCAAGATTTGGGACTGGAGTGCACAAAGTGAGCGGCGAAACCATCTGGCTAGGAATGAGAGAGACATGTCCTCCGGG